CTGCCCTGCCCTGCCCTGCCCTGCCCTGCCCTGCCCTGCCCTGCCCTGCCCTGCCCTGCCCTGCCCTGCCCTGCCCTGCCCTGCCCTGCCCTGCCCTGCCCTGCCCTGCCCTGCCCTCCCTGCCCTGCCCTGTCTTGCTGCATGCACGAGCTTGAAATGAAGAAGAGAACTATAGAATGAGTTTAGAGCTAAACCCTAACAGGAATAGGTTTGGGCGGTTTGGCCGCCTCCCCTTTCAAGCTTCTCACCTAGATGTAACCCACAGGCCACTGCTCGCACGAGATGGCCGCCTCAAACAGTGTGGGGTGGGAGAGAGAAAAAAAGCCCTCCACCGTCGGGGCTCCAGCAGCGAATCGTCAAGCTACGATGCACTCGAAACTACACTGTCGCTAGATACTTCCGCTTATGCGCCACTCGACGGCAAACCCTAAAGCCTTCCTGAGGAACTGTACTGCCGTCTGGTCTCTTTACGGCGTTACAGCCATCCTTTACGGGCCGTGGATCTTGGGGGTTTCGGGGTCAACGGTCGTCTGGTGCTTGGTAGGGAATGGGAGAATGGGCTATACTATAAGGGACCTTAAGGGACTATCATAAGGATGCATTCCCCCATTCCCTACTAAGCACCAGACAGGCTAGTGTTTGATCGTTAGGGTCTTGGACCTTGGATTTGCGGCTTCACAGTTAAAGCTGTGGAGCTTGGGCTTTGGATGTTTTGTTGGTTACCTTACCTGGCGTCACCGTCCGCTGTTGACGAGTGCAACAGATACAGATATGTAACTATCTCGCACGAACAGAAACATCCGAACTGTATGTAAGAATGATCGTCCGAGGTGCCCCCCCCCCCCTCAAACCCTCTGCACTTGGGGGCGATGCATAGGCCAGGAACCGAGGTGCTGTCTGCGCACCGATGCTTGAACCCTGACTTCACAGAGGAACCCTGAACCGCTAATGCAGGGGCCCCAAATAGTTACTTATACGATTTTGGAGGCTTCCTATGGTAATTATGATATACCGGGCCCCAAAACCCTATTCTAATTACTCAGGCGCACGTGCAGCTTGAACCAGAGCCAAGCCACAGCACGTCGACAATGCCGATGAAGTAACCTCGCATGGTTCAGGCGGCAGGCACCGTGAAAAAAGGGTGCCCTGATAATTAGAGTTCGGGTCGCCACTACATGCAATACCAGAAAGCCCAATACTCGTTGAGTCCTTGAGTAAGGAATCTACCGGAAATTCCTTGAGATTCCTTTATGTGGAGCAACAGCTCTCGGCAAATTGCCTATTCGAAGAAAACTTTTGAGCTCTTGGGTAATCCAAACCCAGGCCTTTGCACCGGCAGCCGCCGCAACCGCTAGACCAGGAGCATGCCCAATTCCCGAACATCCGAACATCTCCCAAGAACTGTCCTAGACTGTATACCCTCAGACCCCTCTCTTTAAACCCGTGCTGAGGCCGAGGCGTGTGACATGAAAACCCTCAACCCTGAAACCCGAAGTCGACAAACCCTAAGCACTCAAACCCCTAAACACCCCTACCTGGACCCCCAAAGTATGTAGAATAATACCATTTTATGGGCTTTGGGCAATTATTTTGCCTACCTTTGAGGGTTTTAGGTAAAACTGAAGCTGGCGGAAAGCACTGCGACTTGTCCACGCTCTGCCAGGCATGGGGTGGAATCTCATCGGACTCCTTACCCGGCGAACGTCTCGGACACGTGTCAGGTTTACTGTTTAGGGTTTAGGGTTTAGGGTTTAGGGTTTAGGGTTTAGGGTTTAGGGTTTAGGGTTTAGGGTTGGCTTTTTTGTTTAGGGTTTCAGCACCTCAGTATTACTCGGCACCCAGAAATCTAAAGAAACTGCAAAGCCCCATGAAGGGACGCCCTTGCTGATGTTTAAGCCTGTTTTGAGTCTAAGGCTCGGGGCTTCGGAATCAAAGTGCCCTTCTTGAAGGCGTTGAGGGTTTGGGGTCCAATGGTTTAGTGGGTTTGCGGTGCATTTCCACTCAGAGACGCCTGAAAGAATTAGTTTTGGGGCTGCTTCAGCCAATAGTCTAGCATATATTGAAAAGCCCTCAGAAAAAATGCCAACTCATCAAGCACTTCTGGTAACCTGCTTACCGAATGATCCTCTTGGGGCGCGTCTTACGGCTCCGCGCCGAACGGTCTATTATACTATACTTATAGTAAGGAACCCCAAAATAGTACAGGTAACTATTCAGGCCCCTACATTAACCCGCAACCCCGAGACTTTAGCCCCCTTTTCGTGAAGACGTAATGAGCCGATGCATGTGACAGGAGAAAGAAACCCTCAACTTGCTGCACACTGAACTTCGTAAACCCGAACCGACCCTAAACCCTAAACCCTCAATCTAGACCCTAAACCCTCAAAGTAAACCCTAAGCGCTTTTCTCCTGAACCCTAAACCCCAAACCCAAACCGTAAGCCCTAGACCCTGACCCTAAGCCCTTAACCCTAAGATCACCTGACCTACCTTTGAAACCGACTTCTCTGCTGCCTTTCGGGTGCTGGGCGCAGGCCTCCGACACCCGAACCGAACCCCTCCGCCTCCGGGTTTAGGGTTTAGGGTTTCTTTAGAGTTTAGGGTTTGGGGTTTTTAACAGTTTAGGGTTTAGGGTTTTTAGGGTTTAGAGTTTAGGGTTTAGGGTTTCTAGGGTTTAGAGTTTAGGGTTTAGGGCTTTTAGGGTTAAGGCCGGTTAAGGCCTTCCAGTTAGAAGAGGGCATGGTGGTTAACGTACGGGTCTCAAGAATTAGCATAGGGTTTTGGGGCCTCTATTACGCTATACTTATAATGAGGAACCCCCAAAAGAGTATTGGTACTTATTCAAGCCCCTGTAGTACATGATACTGTCATGATGTAAAAGCCGGTGATGGGATCATACGGGTAGATCTCTAAATTAGGGCCGCCTTTTGGGTCCCCAATATAGTACGGCACCCTTATAAAAAGCACCCTAAACGGGACCCCAATTTAGAGAACCACCCATACTCCGACTCCTACCTTGAACCCTAAACCCTAAACCCTAAACCCCTAAACCCTAAACCCTAAACCCTAAACCTTGAACCCAAAAACCCTAAATCCTAAACCCTAAAACCTAAACCCTAAACCCTAAAAACACCCGAACCGCCGGCTCCTGGATCTCCGCGATTCCAATCAGCACCGAGAAGTCGATAATCGAGAACTCGCCTTTTTCAAGCATTCAGCGTTTAGGGTTTAGGGTTTAGGGTTTAGAGTTTAGGGTTTAGGGTTTAGGGTTTAGGGTTTAGGGTTTAGGGTTTAGGGTTTAGGGTTTAGAGTTTAGGGTTAGGATTGGAGGGTTTTGGGGACGGTTTAGGGTTTAGGGTTTAGGGTTTGGGGCTGCTAAAATTTAAGGTGCGTAGGAGTTCGGGTTCTTCTGTTCTTCTGGTGCAATCAGACTTGGTTCGAGCTGGCGGCTCTTGGGCTTTGAAAAGGCATTGAGGGCCAACAGTTGCGGGTGTGGGCTTTCGTAAGTCGCGGTGGAAACCCCAAGCCATCGATTTCCAGCCTTTCTTCGGCGAGCATAACTTGGGCAATGCCCGCTAGGGTTTTTGCAGCCGTATATGTCTCTGTATATATATATATATATAGATAGATAGATATATATATAGAGAGAGAGAGGCAGAGAGAGAGAGAGAGACATATGTGTATCTATCCATCCATCCATCCATCCATCCATCCATGCATCCATGCATCCATGCATCCATGCATCCATGTATCTGTATACTGAACATTTTATGATTCAACGATTTCTGAGCCCACTCTCGGCTCCCTGAGGTCTCTAAGTGCCAAGCCTGGCTCGCCTTAATTATACAGGGGCCCAGTACTTGGGTTTAGGGTTTAGGGTAGCACAAAGGTTCGGCTCCCTTTTTAGAAGGCCGTCTCTAAGGCTCCGAAAAATCCCTGAGCCCCAGCTGGCACCCCAAACGTGTCGGAACCCCCCTGAGGTGCGGGCTGAGGAAAGCCTCAGGCTCAAGCAAACATGTTGCACATCATTTTTGGGTTTAGGGTTTAGGGTTTAGGGTTTAGGGTTTAGGGTTTAGGGATGCGGTGGGCTGGGCTTTGGGGACCTAGAAGGCTTAGGGATGGCAGCTTTGGGGTTCTTCTGTAAGGATTAGGGGCCTCAGACTTAGAGTTTGAGGGTTTAGGGTTTAGGGTTTAGGGTTTAGGGTTTAGGGTTTAGGGTTTAGGGTTTAGGGTTTAGGTGTTTTGTTTTGCTTCGGGACTCCATGGATTTGCCCGGGGCACAGCCGCTGCGCTGTCAGCAGCCATGCCAAGGAAACAACCACCCGATTCGATTACGAACAAGGGGTGAGGGATTCCGGTTTCGGGTTTAGGGATGCCGGTTCTACGGGATTTAAAGGTCAGTTTATTTAGCTGCTGTCGCCACAAGCACAAGGCCTTCAGGAGTAAAGGGTAGGAACTCAGACAGGTCTGGGGCTTCAACAGCTTCATTTGGGGTTTCAGCCCTTTAGCTCACAAGACTCCTGAGGTGCACGGCAAATTTGAGAACTCCCCTGCTGACTCTGCTGGAGCACTTGACAGCTCATGGGGTAAGGAGTGCGTTTTGCACCAGTGCGGTCGGGGATCCAAGAAAAAAGACAGGCTGTTAGGTGGCTCGGTTTGGAATGCAGGCTTTGGGTTTCGAAGGACCTCAAGACTCTCGGCTGAAGCTTGGGGTTTGGAGGTTGATGGATTTGGGGATGAGGGCTTGAAGCTTCATGTGTTTGACGTTAAACCTTGAGAAAAGGGCCAATGCGCCCCCATACCTAAACCCTAGACCCAAAGCCCAGTAAGGTTTGGGGCCGCCAAGCAGCGGTGTCTCTTCCATGCATCTTCTCCTTGGCAATAGAAACGGCTAACCCGGTGTAGGAATTCTAAGGAGTCGTGCTGCCAGGGGCGTCAGGCTTTAGGGGTATGGGGTTTAGGGTTTAGGGTTTAGGGTTTAGGGTTTAGGGTTTAGGGTTTAGGGTCTTAGGGGTTCAGGGGTTGAGGATTTAGGGATTCGGGGGTTTAGGCTTTGGAGGCCCGGAAGAAAACCAAGCTAGACATACAGATATGGTGACATACAGACATGAAGACCTGCAAACAGACCGGGGTGTACAGAGATAGGTAGGTTCTAATCATAGTATAATATACCCCCAAAACTCTATTCTGACCCTTAAGGCCCCTACGGGGATGCAAAGCCAATAAACCGTAAACCCTGAACCCTAAACCCTAAACCCTGAACCCTGAACCCTAAACCCTGAACCCTGGACCCTAAAGCAGACAAGTCTCCAGGCTGGCAGCATCCTCGGGGGACACGGCCAAGCGACATGCATCCGAGATCCAATCCTCGGGGCTTCTCTGAGGGCTTGGGGTTTTAGAGTAAATGGTGTTTCTAGGGCTTAGGGTCAAGGGCTTAGGGCTTAGGGTTTAGGGTTTAGGGTTTGAGGGTTTTTAGGGTTTGGGGTTTAGGGGTTACGGCGCGTTCTCCGAGGGTTTGAGGTTCGGAAAACCCAATTCCAAGAAGCAGCATACCACAGCTTTGTTGCGGGCTTTTGGATCAAAGCTTGAAAAAGAGTGAACCCGGACTGTGACGTAGCTAATGACGGAGAGGACATGTAGCCCAGGCAAAAAACATGCGATTCTTGAAACTATGTAGTAAGCATGCAAACGGTAGAAGTAGCAACAGCAGCGGCCACAAGCGGGAGGTGTTGCTGCTGTTCTGCTGCATCGCCAGTAGCCAGAAGAATCACCACCACTGTGATACACAGAACCACAAAGCACGAATCCCTAAACTTAGTCTCGCCGCTTAAACTTTTGGATTTAAAGCATTTAAAGACTCTATATGCCTCAAGGCTTCAGGTTCTGTAGAGTGTTGGTCCAAAACCGCCCATAACCCGTCTCAAACCCTACACCCTAAGCCCTAAGCCGACTATCACACTCCAGGTGTCTTCGTCCTTGCGAACTTTCTCGGAATCATCCTGGCAAGCCGCAGTTCTGCAGGTTCGGCGCGGCCCTTCCCCGCGAGTTTAAAGTCCTAAACCCTGAAGGCTGAGCGAAGCGACCGATTCCTCGCAACATCAGTATTGGGGGTTTCCGAAAATAGGGGACCCTAATATAGTACCCTACATAATGGGTTCCCTACTATAAGGACCCCAAATAAGGTACTCTAATTTTCGGAAACTCCCGTATAGGAATCTTCATCGTGAGTATAGGGTCCAGAGGTTTTTAGAGAAGGGTCGTGTTGTTATGGGGGCCATACGGGAGTAGTAGCACCAGGTGCTGCGACCTCGATGTTAGAATCACATCATGACGCAGAGTTGCTCTCTCTACTTCCCGAATTCCTGCAACTAAACCTTGAGGCTCAAACCCTCCACCCCAATATCCTAAACCTTCGCCATCTCTCCTTGTCTCTAAAGCCGAAACCCACAGAGTGCAGACCCCAAAGGCCCAAGTCCATAAGGGGCTCCCAAGAAGGCCTCTACCCTTCAAAGAGCATTCACCAAAAAGGCTTGAAGCGACCAGGCATGAATCAGCGGCCTTGTCCGTCCGCGTCGCCACAATCCCCATCACCATCACCCCCATCATCCTCATAAGCCTCATGAGCCTCATCATCATCATCATCATCATCACCAACATTGCATTAATCAACATGACCACCACCATCGCCGTTGGTACCAGCACCATACATCACGGCGCCGCCGCTCATTCCTCGTCATATCTTCCACGAGACCATCTGTGGCAAACAATGTACACCTAATGAAGACTTCGCCCTCATCCTCGGCGTCGGCATATGGAGCCCGAAAGCCACCCTCCTCAAACACCCATCCCTCAACCCTAGTTCAACGCCACACATCCATTCCCAAACTACCCTAATTAGGTGCTGAAAAACCCATACTTTTTGCATCAGGGCTTGTGCAATCGCCTGAATGTCGGAGCACAGGGAGGTTTTTTAGCACCCTAAGCCCTCCATCCCAGTCTCGGAAAATTCGCCGAAGCCCTTCCACGAAACTCGGCTCAGGGAGTGGCCTTCACCCTGCGGTTGTGGGTGGAGCCCTTGAGGTCGTACATCCGGCTCATCCTCATCGGGTTTAGGGTTTAGGGTTTAGGTCTCGGGAGGGGGACGGGCCCTACCCGGACCAGAAAAACTCTCACTTTTTGGGCGTGAGGTTCCCAGAAAGTCTACATCAAGGCTTTGGGTGTGAATATCCTCCAAGAAGTGAAGTGAGTTCTGGTAGTTTGAGGTGGGGTTTTCTTGGTGTAGAGTCCATTTTTCAGAAGCGCGGGTTTACAGCGTCGGCTTTACCTAGGGTACAGCGGATCTACACTAGAGTTTGCGGGTTTAGGTCTTAGGATTCTTGAGGGCTTCGGGTTTACAGTTTGCAATGGGGGTAGCTTCGCGGTGGTATGGCTAGAAGAATTATATCTTTGCTTGTGCCTCCCGCTCACGGTCTTGTTCACGACGTTCGGGGCTACGCAAGTGTCCAAACATACATTCGTATCTCTGCGGGCTTGGAACCTTCCATCCCAAACAGCAGGGAGGCGCTAGTGGATCGGAAGAGAGAGCCTGAACCGGAAAGGCCTTGTCATGGGCCAGTGCCCTGTGTCCAGAAAGAGTCCGGACCACAGGGCTCTCAAGCTTCGCCCCTTTACAGCCACCGGCGTTGCTAAAGCGGGAATCAACTGCTGGGCCCCAAACGCAGAACCCTCACAGCCCCGAAATGTTGTGATTTTCCTACACAGAACCCTTTCAGCATGGGCTTGGATTGTGTGCCAGCGAACACACCTCAACAGCAGGGCCTTCTCGTTTAGTTTAACGAGGGATGCAACCGGAGGAGTGAACACAGAACCCTGAAGCCCGAACCCTAAACCCTTTTCGTTCACAAGGGACTCGACTGCTGCCCTTACTGCCCAGCTTGACCCACAAGACAGTACTCATGACTGCGAACCCTAAACCTTTTTTGCATCCAGCCTGCAAGAGCCGAACCGTAAACCTGAAACCCGAAACCCCAAGCCCGAAACCCGCGGCAAGCGGCTGCACTGGCGAGTCAAAGACCGAGCGCATGATGGTGAAGTAGCGCTGCCCCAACCCAGAGCCCATGTCCTCGGGCGTTGGGGCTTGGGGCTTACATTTTTGGCTTGGGGGGGCAGGGTCCTAAACCCTAAGCCCTTTTGCTGCAGGCTTGCAAGCAAGAACGCCTGGTTTACTGCCCTTCTTACACAGGCTTGATTGGAGCTCGCCCGGCCAATGTCCCTCAAACCCAAACCCTAAACCCCAAACCCCAAACCCTAAACCCTTCCCCGAAACCCCAAACCCGGGTGGTAGGGCTGTCACCGCAGCCTCGGAAACGAGCAGGCTCTCGGCCCTCACGGCTCAAAACTTAGCCTTCAGGCACCCGAAGGAACTGACACGGTTTAGGGTTTAGGGTTTAGGGTTTAGGGTACAGATACTGCCACAACCTGAAAAAAAAAACACGCCCCAAAACAGCCTTCGGGTGGAGGCTTTCTTGGTGGGGTCTTGGGTGTGGGGCTTGCCTGTATCGCCAGGCGAGAAGCATGAAAAACTGGCTTCCCCGAGAAGCTTTAGGAGCCGAGCGTTATAGTACTTCAAAACTTTCGGGCTTTAGGGTTTTCGGGTTTCGACTCACACACTCGNNGAAGCTGGCATGGCAAGAGAAGGTCCAGGGTTCTAGGGCAAGGCCGACACCTCGACTTTGCATCCGTCCTACTTATACAGGGATAAAAAGGGGGGAAGAGTATAAATTAACCCGTCAGGCGCCTCGGTTGGGTGCTCTTGGGATCTTATCTGCGCTTCCTCTTTCCAGACGGGAAGCAATTCGATACAGCCCGACATAGAGCCCGAGAATGGAGCCTTCCTCTCCGGCAAGGTGGCTGACGTAGCCTCAAGTGAACTTAGAATCTCGGTAAGCAGGTTCGAAGGGTGATCGAACTGATAGTCCTCGTTGATTCCCGGCCATGACGTACGCTATGGTTCAGACCCCCTACATACAGAAGAGACACGAACGATCCTTGAGGGTTTGTTGCCTCCCTTTTAGGGTTTAGGGTTTAGGGTCCTTGAGGGTTTAGTCTTAGTTTTAGGGTCACCTTTCCGGGCATCAGACTTGTTGGGTTCACGCCTACACAGGAGCAAATCGAACTCCTGATGAGGACTAAGCATAGAAGCCTAAATAATCAGAAGAAGGTTCCGGGTGCATATTGGGAGATATTTGATAAGGACTACAAGGAGATGTTCGTAAACAAACACTAATTATTTGTTTAAAGTGCCCGCATTCTCGCCGAAGAGCTCGGAAGAATTGCCTCCAGCCCTTTCCCCTCGGCATCCGAGATGCTCCTTGGTGTCTCTGAATGGTTCAATCAAGGCTCTACCGCGTTGCTTGGTTTTTTTGCTGCAAGCTTGCAAGCAAGAACGCCTGGCATTGTTTGCTGCAGGCTTGCTTGGCCCTAAACCCAAAACCCTAAAGGGTGTTTGAAGGTGGCGTTGAAGGCTTCGGCTTCTATCAGTGCGATACGACTGGCTGCAACTCTAGGGTGTAGACAGGGCTTTGGGCTGGTAGTGTTGTTGAGGGTATTCATACGTATAGGTTTTACCCAGGTTTTAGCTAAAGGTTTTGGGCGTCCTATACGGGTGTTTGGTTCTATCTGTGGCGCTTAAAATGAGGACATGTTCAGCAAGGTCTGCAAAGCTCACTCTACGGTAGGCTCTATGACTTGATTTAAAAAAATATCAAGGTTCAGAGTTGCTAGGTTTAGGGCTTGGGTTTAAGGTTTCGGGCGCTTGAGGTTCTGGGTTTTGGGCTCAGGGAAAATCTCCTGATCGATTCCAGCATGATTTGGGTTTGAGTGGATGGCTTCATGAAAGCCAAATTCTGGATTCAAAAGCCGAGCCGATAACCCTCGTTTTCTTTGCTTACCGTAGACCCTAAACCCTAAACCCTAAACCCTAGCAGTGGTCGCCTTTGGAGGGCGGCCGAATGTCTTTTTAGGGCTGGCCGGGGGCAAGGAAAGAGCCTAGTGCTATCGGTACTGACATCGTATGAGCAATCTTGCCCGCTCTGGCGGCATTGGATACACAACTCTATCCAGATGTAGCAGTGACCAAAAAATACAGGCCCTGTGCCCTAAACCCTCAACCCCCAAAACCCTAAACCCTAAACCTGTTCCCTCCAAGAGTCTTGATGATGAACTTCCCCGATTGGGAGATGAAAAACATCTCCCCAGACCTCGGGGAAGTTTCCAACATCTTCTACATGCACAGTCCGATGAGAAAGGTGTCCAGCCACGGAAGCCCACTGTCCTTGCCGAAACGGCCTTTTTCGGAACTCCGAAAACCCTGGACGAGCCCGAAACGTTATGAAGATCGATGAGGGTTGGGAGCTAGGATTAGGGGGACCCTTGGGGATATAGACCCTCTCAATAAGGTCCCTGTTAAGAGAGCCAAAAGTAGGGTTCAGAAGGGGTACCCTTTAAGGGATACCCCTAATAATGCTACCTAGGGTTGGCTCCCTTAGTTCGAGGAACTCGTTGGACCCTGCACATCTTAAGCATCGGCGCTCTGGGCAGACTCGACTTGGAGACTCGTCGGGCGCGCGACACTTCTGGGAGTTTCCGAACATAAGGGGTACCTTATTTTGGGGTCCTTATAATAAGGATCCTACTGTTTAGGGTACTATATTAGGGTCCCCTATTTTGGGAAACCCCCTTATAGAACTATGAACCATGAACCAATATTGGTACGATTTTTTGCCTCCTGCATGGTTGAGCGAATAGTAGTACGATTAAATGGAGGGGGTCATGGGGTTTGGGGTTTCGGCGCTCACACCTCAGGACACTCCAGGCGAGGCATGTGGCACGAGGTCTGCAGGGAAGTGAAACGCTCGGCTTGGGGTTTAGGGCTTGGGCTTGGTGTTATCATAAACATTATTCCTATGCTGTTGCACGTCTTTTGCTTTCAGTCGACGGATGCCAAGTTTGCCTGGTGGCCGCAGAACACGCAGACAACAAACAACAAACTCCCGAAACATGAAGCGGAATTGCCCACAAAGCCCAATTCCCCAAGCAATATACCTCACCTCCTAACAAGAACCCGCTATACTTCAACGTGTCGTCCCATTGACCAGAGGGATCCGTTTACGAAGACTCTAAGCCGGCCCATCAAAAGGCTGTTAAAACCAATCAGAAGCCGAAAATTGAGCCACTGTCTCCGCGATCCTTTCGGACCGGATATAGGGTTTAGGGTTTAGGGTTTAGGGTTTAGGGTTTAGGGTTTAGGGTTGTGGGCAATGCAGCAGAGAAGCTTGCTGTTCGTACCTGGTGGCTGAGGGTGTGAGGGGTTGGGTTTCAGCCTTTCTGGTCTTGACCCTTTCTTGCAACTGGCTTGCAACGTCACGCCCTAAACCCTAAACCCTAAACCGTTGAAATCTCGCGACTCGGGCTGGTCTGGTGCCGTCCCCGTGCGGTCCGAGAACCCTCAACTTTTAAAGCCTTTTTTCAAGACGCCTACCGCCAGTGACTCCAGGGGGCGTAATATTATGCTAACCTTGACGGCTTGATTATGCTTAATTTAATGGTTGTGACGGTTGCAATGATGATGTTTCTGACCATCAGGATGACTGGAAGTTTTCGGACGGCAAGAATTCATCCACCCATCTGCTCATTCGGTGAAACAGGCACCGACGGGGCTTCTTTCGAATATGTGGACTCCGGATTAGCTCCGTACCATTTTTCGATTATGTTAGGTGCCTTCTGTTCTGAAAAAATCAAACTTAGGCTGGAGGGCTGTGCAGGACATCACTTTCGGTTTCTCCTTTGAACCCTAAATAAACCCTGAACCCTAAACCCTTTTTGACACATGATGCCTTAGTCTGCCGCCTGCCGCACAAAGAAACCACCACTTCACAAAACTTCACAACAACCCATTTGGGTAGTTCTCTGGATTAGGGTCCCATTTTAAGCTCTTTTTATAAGGGTGCCGTACTCTATTGGGGACCTAAAAAGGGGCCCTAATTTTGAGAACTACCCATTTGCAGAATAAGCAGTCACTCTTTTGCGCGGCTTCATGCACCGTAAGATCTGACCCATATGAACCCTTTCCCTGACCCTGAACCATAGATCGCACCGCCTAAACTACACCCGAACCCTACACCTAAACCAGAAAGCCCAACCCGGCCATTAAGCCGTATCGTATCCCTCGAAATCATTCCGACGGCCTTTCTGTGATTTGTGGTCCAACTTTTCGTGGCCCTAAACCCTAAACCCTAAACGTGCGCTCCTTATGTAAGTGAAGGGTCTTGGACTCTCTGTTGTTCGGAAGATCAGCGAAGCGGCTGAGAATGCGAATCGGCTGCGCCGGATCCCCCAACTCCTCCAGTAAGACGTCCTGATCTCCGGGCACTAGGAGGGTAGTTCTCTAAACTACCCTTTTTTGCATCAGGACTTGTGCAATCGCCTGAATGTCCGAGCCCTAAACTACCCTAAACCCTAAACCCTAAACCCTAAACCCTAAACCCTAAACCCTAAACTAGGGTCCCCTTTTTGGGTCCCCAATCTAGTACGGCACCCGAATAAAAAGGACTCCAAAAGGGACCCCAAGTTAGAGAACTACCCATGAGGGAATTGAATCGAGTCTTTGGGGTTCCAGATTAAATGCTTCAATCCTTCAGGCCTTTATGACCAGGGGCTTGACAACGTACAACTGACCCATAACCAGCTGACTGCAGTTCCTTGCATTTACGGGGGAAGGTCAAGCGCTTTACATCGCGCTCTGGATGGCAAACTCGATTTGCGACAGAACATAGCACCTGCAACATGCCATTCTAAGACTGATTAAGTCACCCTCGGATCCTTGTTATGACTCAAAGTCTGTTACTTGTTTGAGGTGTTGGGCACATGGCATCTTAAGCATGTCCCAGCGTGTTAGACAAGCCCTTCCGGCCTTAACAGGCGTCTTTTCCGCCAGGCGTTTTTAAGTCTTTGCCCCGACCACCCGCCACCCCCCTCCCGCAGCGTTCCCAGCCCTGCGCGCGTCTTTACACCACCCAGAGACTCCAATACCCCTTCATTAAGGAATATACCTTAAATCATATTAGGAATCCTACTATACTTTAAGGTATATTCCTTAATTAAGGGACCTTCCCTGCCACCCCCCACTCTCCCGGAAGCGTCGCCGCATCTTTTAAGCCTCCTCGGGCGCCTTCCACGCATCCGGTCCCCCCTCCTGGGTCCTGGCGTCTTTAAACGTGGTTTAGGGTTTAGGGTTTAGGGTTTTTTCCGCTAATTTCCTCTGACACAACCTTCCCATCCCCGCACGGCGACGACGACCAACCCCATGTCGTTCTCGGAACCGCACACAGCCCGGAGGGACGGAAAGACAGAAATGCATCTGCGAAGAGAGGCAAAACGAATGTAAACAGGGTAAACAGACGTGATCCGTGGAGAGAGAAAAAGAAGAAGCATCTGGGAAAAGAAGCATAAAGCAGCCAGGGAGAGAAAAAGAAGGGTCTGGAAGAAAGAGGCCTAGTGGCGGGGGTCAAAACGGGGCCGTTGGCCCATGCCGTGAAATAACAGAGAAGTCCCAGCAGCTGGAGTCACGCCGGCTCGACCCTGGCACATGCCATGCAGGAGGCTCACCTGAGACACCAGGCTCAAGATTCACGGGTTTACGACCTAAACTTAGTTAAGATGTGCTTTATGTCTTTGGGTTTCATACGGTTTCGACTACCGCAAATCGCACAATAACACTTTCGCGACAAGTGGCAACGCAGAACAAAGGACTGAAAAAGCTGGAAACCCCAAATACCACTGCGGCTTCGACACGCCAAATGCCTGGAACGGCAAGCAGACGTCTCCCGGACTTTCCGTGCAGAAAGCCTGAGGAAGTGGACCAGCAACTCTCACACCCAAAAGGACCCTACACCCTGTACCCTTTTGCATCCAGGCCTACTGCGACTGCCGGGTACCCCTGAAAGGAGAGAAAACTGAGGGCCAGGCAAATCTAACCCTAAACCCCAATCCCTAAACCCTAAACCCTAAACCCCAAACCCTAAACCCTAAACCCTCAACCGCACCTCGCCTCCTCCCAAAAGGACCCCAGGTCCCCTGCGCATTCGATGCTCCAGGGAGGAAATCTTTCATTTAAGATGCTTCAGATCTGAAATTCCTTGAAAAGATAACACACTTTCACAAAGCAGGCTACTAACCGGAAATTAAAAGTGCATGATAGCAGGTGTTCTGCTTGCGGGGTATTGCCGCTACAAGCTCGGGGTGCGCCAGGCTACCCGTCGGGTAGTTAACGTCATGCGGGATCGTTGTTCTCAGGCAGAAGGCAGGTCTGTGTGCTAAGTGCTCGGTTCCGGGTCGTCGTCCCACCACACCCCCACTACTACGATTATCACGACGGCGACGACGAGGACGACTACTACTTTGATGGTGGTGATGATGATCTCGCTGGTGTATTCTGCGTTGTGGACATCGCAAAACTGTTCATTGACAGCGACGCCCATCACCTGCAGAACCATCGTCCTGCCAGAACCATGTTGGACGGGCGCTTTGAATCAGAAACGCGCATCGCCGCAACCATCATGTCTTTACGCAAGGTTATCGAGAAGCAGCACCACGGAGGCAGTGAATAACGCTAAGCTACACGGGCGCCGAGGGGCCTGCCAAGGGCAGCTGACAGCGCAAGAAGCGAAACGGCCATAATGAGCAACATCGACCACAAAACTCGTAAGAGTATGAAACCCTATTTGAATCATCGATGGAATCGCCAAATCCTGATTGCTAGGACCCCTGCAATAAAACTTTTTTCGACCCCACAACAATTGGCAGCCAAGGCAACGCAACCGCCCGCCGGGATCTCGTAGGAGCACCTTTCCACCTCCCCAGGCCCAAGGAAGGGCTCACTCCCAAAGACATCCTCCACGGCCGACCTCGATTAACACATTGAGGTCGGACGCGATTTGGGTGCTCACACTATTTATAAGTTTGCGAAGTACCGTGAGCCTAACCTACCGCAGGCAGCATGTTGAAAACCCTTGCCCGCGGCATCTTCCCGGACATCCACTTGCCAAGCTGCAGCAGCGGGGCCAGTGCTTCTTCGACATGGTGCACTGCCTGTCCCGAAACAGAAAGTCTGCATGCGGTGTACTTTTTAGAGTTTTATCATCCCAACGGCTTTTTCGCCATGTGAATCATGATGCACGTCTTTTCGGCGACAACAATAAAACGAGCTAGCGTCTGAATGAACACGTGACAGGCCACTGCTGCATCACGCAGAAAACCACAAACCCCAGCCACCCGCACACCTGGATGATCATGGGGAGCGACGTGACCACCCGCTCTGCAGGACTCGCTGCTTCTCCAAAGCAGCAAACTATGCTCTCGCATTCGAGGGTGATGTCCTTCGGCTGGCATGTGCTGAGCTGCGACATTGCTTGCCAGCAAGAACTGCACTCGGCATGCCAGGGCCTGCCCTACCTGTTGCTAATTGTGCACAGGCCTCCAGGTCCGACATTGTTCGGCCATCTCGTCCGAGTATCCCCTCCTGGTCAGCTTCACGACAAACGGCAGCTTCTAGCAAACTTTTGCGTTTACCGTATAAACGACACGTCAAACCTTTTAATGATGCCGCCGGAGATGCAACCACACTCGCGCTGGACTTCATCTTCTGCATGATTTTGAAGTCTCGTGACGGTTTGCTTTTTGGCAGCTCCACCCGGAGTTTCCGGAAGCTCCTCAGTTCCAAAATTGGTCTGCCAACCGCGGCTGCGTTGTGCACATAAACACAACCCACGGATAGCTCCATAAACGGAGAAAAGCCGTATGCATTCTATTATGTATTTTATGGCATGATTGCACATTTATGTTACTCTATCTATTCTCTCTTGGTGATCATGTGCCCCGGCCTTTTTGACACAATGATTGTTCCCACCCGCTCAGCTAGATCTGGGGCGAGCATTGGTCGGCATGGCTTCCGGAATATGGTCGGAAAGATCAGCTTGCGCTGTGTAGAAGCCAAGGCACGCTGCAACAAGCAGTTTAGCCGCGGCGCCACTTGGCAACTGGGGCATCGCACTGCGATCGCACCGTTTGGGTTCCCTCCCTTTCGTTGTGTTTTCTTCGTGCCGGTTGGCGAAAGTCCAACCGCTGCGGCTTCGGCGAG